TAGAGATGACCTAGTTCCACCCCCCCTGCTTGGACATGATGGTAGCAAAGGGAGAAACCTTATGGCAAGCGGGTAAATCAGTGACAGAATCTGAGCAGCAGTGACAAGATAACCACAGCAGGAACCACAGCTCTTGATCCCCTGGCTTTGGAAAGTATGTGTCTCAGACAAATACAGGCAGTAATTTCCTTTCTTTAAAAAACACACACCAAAAAAATAAACCAAAGAGAAGACAAAAGCTTCTCCTCCCGAGGAGCCAGCCAGCTCACTTTGCATTGCTCCTGTGTGCTTCCTCATGTACAGGGTTACCCCTGAGCAAACTGCAGGAGGTTTTCATTAATTTCCAAGTGCAGGTTTCCACCAAGGCAATGTTCATGGATCGAGCCAGAGAGCTGCTGTATCATAAGGACAACAAATAAGCTGTGGAATCCCATCACCCTGAACTATTTTTATGGCATGTATTACAAATACATCCAAACATCCCATCTCTCAACCATGTGCTTTTACTACTGCAGCATCCATGTGAGGTACAAAGTGGTAACATTTTACTTCCAAGACAGATTAAAATTTATTGCACTTGGAGGATTTATTGCTATTGGAAGGAGGAACTCGATGGGATTTCTCCAGAGCACCTGTATATTAATTTGTAGGCACCAGCTGTCGTGTAGACATGCTGTGGCTCTCCTGAAGCCACCAAGCTCATGGGGGGAGCCCAGGGGAAAGCAGAGAGCAACCTAGGGTTTCTACTTCCACCATTTGGCTGTTTTCCCTCCATTTGTGCCTTTGATTTTCAAGTGGTTTCTGAGCTTTTCAGTGGCCAGAGGCACATTTTGCTGCTGACTCCATGTATTTGTCTCTCCTTGTCTGAGCTGCAGGCAAGGCTGCTTTGGGAGCGATGCATATGCAAAACTTACCATCTTTTGGCAGCACGCACCCTATAGTGTTGCTTCTTAGCTTATAAAAGCGCTCAGGCTCCCTCAACCCCACCACCAGAAGACTTCTCCTTTGGTCCCAGATGTTTCTGTTGGAAAGGCCCAATCCTAGCAGGAGAATGGAGACCAGCTCCCCAGCCCATGCTGGGACCCTGCCTTAGCTGTGCTATGGAGAGTGGGTAAGTGCCTCAGGTAACCCCCTGATCTTCTTCAACCACATCTCCCCTCACACCTGATGTACTTCACTTCCAGTGTAAGGGCTTAATGACACACACACTTTGAAGACCTGCAGGTTAGCAAAACAAACAAAAGTGCTATGTTTTTCTTTGTTAAACCGCAGAAGACACCTGTGTGCGCATCTCCACGTGGGGATGGGACAAGAGAACAAACACGTGGCAGATGTTAGTTGTGATGGTCAGTGGATGCAGGAGATAGAGGGAAGTGGTGGCACCACGCCGAGCTTCACCTTCACAGCTTCCAGAGGCAAACCAGCCCAGGGCAACAGCAGGACAGGCTGTGGACACCACCCAGCACGGCTGGGAATAGTGGGACTGTGGATAGCTGGGCAGGAAGGAAAGGCAATAAATATCTTGCTCCTGCCTCTGGGAGGAAGCCAGATGAAGCATTCCTGTCACAAAGGTGAAATGTTTTTCACTCTAACAGTAACTCAGGAAGATGTTTCACAGCAGTTGCACAAGGCAAATGTTAAAATCTCAGCAGTGCAGGTATCCTGCATCTCAACATTTTAAAAAGAAAATGAAATTGAAATCTGTTTTTAAAGACCTAACAGGTTAATGCTGACATTCAGCAAGACGAGGCAGCCTGGAGGAGCTCCAGAGAACAAGCAAGCTGATGCTATGCCAGCATTTTAAAAAGTAAACAGGATGGCCTTGTAAACAGGTGTGTCTGTTCGACAGTCATCCCATGCAAAATAATGACTGCAAAATATGTGATTGTATCAATACTTGAAGCAGAGAAATATAAATACCAATCATCAGGGATTACAGATGAAAAACCAGTCAAACTAACACATCAATTTTTGTGGTATACTCTTCAATGTCAGAGAGTGAGCTGGCTGATACAGCAGCGTGTGTGATCCGGGAGCAAGAGTGCTGGAGACCTGGCCAAGTGTGAGGTAGCAGAGGAGATACTCCCCAGGGGGCTGACACTGAGGATATGTTTCTAGCAGGGAATGCTAAATAGTGTAAAGCTGATGACCTGGAAGGAAAGGAAGTGATGAAGCATGCTGTCCTGGGAACTGGAGCCATGTCAGTGATCTGGCGCCCATGAAATCCCTTGGGTAGTGGGGCTGCATGAAGAAAGATGTCCGTCCTCTGCACCAGTGCCCGACTGGTTCCAAGGGGGATGTTGGGTGCCAAGAACAAACCTGTGCCTGTGCTTGTGCTCTCCATCATATTCCAGCACCCCAGCTGGGGTCCAGACAGCCCGGCAGCACCTTCCGTGCTGGGACTGAGCCTCCTCCCTGCCAAAATTATACTACTAAGGAGGAACAGGTTCCAAAAGGGATTGGAAAATGCAAGCAACAAACCCCTGAGGGCTCAGCGTGGCAGCACAGCCCACGCTTGCAGGGAGAGTGTGTTTCCCTGATTGCCTGCTTGGTCCCTGCCTCAGCAGGGAACAGACCAAGCCTTTGCCCTGACCCAGCAGGGCTGTGCTTTTGTTCTGGCACAGTGCACAGGGAATGGCGAATCCCTGTTGGACTTACAGGCCACAGTGGTGAGCAGTGGACCATGAATTTCCACCTTGACTTTATGGGTAAAAGGCCTGTTCCTGTTCCCTGTTTAAACATTCAAGCGCTGGCAGTAACTGGGTAAGAGATTATAAAGTCACTCTGCATTTGAAATTCCCATTCCCACAATTAGAATAACATGTCCTAGTCCAGTGTCCCAAAGGACACAAAAGCACAAGGAGATTTGGATGTGAGCCAAGATTGAAAAATGGAAAATATGCCTTAAAGCAAAAGGGACTTCCATCAGTTCAGTTTGCGGTGAAAAAAAGTTACCAGGAAAGCTTGATCATCACATCCGACTGCTGTCTCTGGGACTAACAACTTCCTGGCTTGAGGAGATCCAGTGACTCGAAGGGAATTAAAGAAATGCAGCCTCGATATAAAGGTACAATAAAAAAATTAACTGTAGGACAGCTACTAGTCACTGTAGCAGAGATGTGTCCGTTCGAGCAACTGTTTTCCGCTCTAATTTACACAAGAACTAATTCGGGGCAGCCTGTGTCACGCAGGAAGTTACGCTGGGAGCCGAGCCGGCCTCCCTGGCTCTATAATCTACGGAAAAAAGCCCTGCCTGTATTTCCCTTCCTCCCCTCCAAGTGTGTGAAAGGTCTGGCCTCCCCACTGGAGGCGTTTTTTGGAGAGCCAGGTTAGCAGGCAGCCACGCTGGCCCCAGCACTGACACATTTTAGCTTTATAAGGAAGCCAGTCAGGGAAGATGCAGTGAAGCAGCATCCTGGAGCTCAGGCTCCATGGATGACAGTGCCAGGGATCTGACACACATTCCTCAAACAGCTTTGTGCCTTCCTTCCCAGCCAAAGCAGGGACATGAGACAGAGCAGGGAACAGCAGCCCCAGCAGTGCTCAGCCCATTACAGGGCATAACCCTGCAGGCTCTGACTCCCCAGCTTCAGGCATTGATCAAACCCTTCCCTGTCTCCACACCAGTTCCCCAGCTGCAGTGAGTGGTTCCAGGAGTGATTCCATTAGGGGTAAAACAGGATCCCATCAATCTGGCTGGGCTGGTGTCATTGCAGACACTTCACTCATTCACAGTGGGGAACGACTTTGCTTATCAGAGAAGCTGCTTGCTTCAACTCTCTGTTCCCAGCTCAGTGCTTTTCAAAGGCCCATACATGAAAATGGGTCAATAACTGCCCTAGTCACAGCTTTGTGGAAGATTTTGTTTTGGGCCACAGCCTCCACAAATAAGCTGGATCTGATTAGCTCACAGGCAAGCAACACAGGAGCAGCTGCAGGCCGTATCTGCTGAGTGGAGATTTCCTCACCCATAAGATTGCTGGCAGATGCTGTTGAGTAAAATACAGTGCTGCCTTTCACAAGCCAAAAGGGAAGTCCAGGGAAGAACAGCAAGAAGCATGACGGTTGCGTTCAGGGTAGCACTGTTGTACTCATATGCTCTTTGGGAATCTTTCCTTAGGCAGGTTATATGTTACGGCTCAAGGGCAGAAAGTAAAACAGGGGTATGGCTTCACAATGATCAGTCGCAATGAGAAATGGGCCAGACCTCATAGCCTGGCTAATTCAGGGGTACCACAGTCCTGAGCAGATTTAAATACCTCTCTGAAGTGACAAATGAATCCTGAAGTAGCTAAGAAACTCTTTCAGCAGCAGAGAACTATGGAAGTGAAATCAGATCCAGCTGGGATTTGTAGCAGCATCAGAATACCAAAGCTCTGTGCTCTGTGCTTCTGTTCCTGAAATGCTGCCTTCTTGCTGCAGGCTTTGTAATAGTCGTTCCCTGTAATAGACTTTCCCAGTATTTTGCTTTCTGGGGAATACCCATAATGGTTTTACAACGAACAAGATGTTTACTGCTTATGTTTGTACCCTGCTGACTCACTTTATTATAGGTCTTTATGCATAATCCTGCAGCTCCAGCACTTAGCCTCCAACATTTTCTGTGTATTTTAGACTGGAGCTACTTATAAGCCTTACCTAAAGGGAAATCAGAGTCCTTATAATCCAACAGATGGACACCAGTGTCTCACAGTGTGCATAACAAGATCTTTATTCAACAAGAGTGAGTAAAGAAATCATTGCAATTGAACAAGCAGAAAAAAAGAGCACAGTGCGCCATGCAGCTCTTCAGGTTCTGTATCAGGAAAGGGTAGTTGTTCTCCAGGCCAGACTGGAAGAAAATAGGATCAATACCAGAAGCAAAGTCCTCTGCTCTGACAACAGAGAAGTACCTGTGTCCAGGAGACATGGCCACTAGCAACTCCACACAAGCCAGGTGTGGTGGCTGCAGCAGGAGCAATGCTGGTAACAGCTGTTCCCCAGGCCTGGTTCATCTCAGCTCATCTCTGATACGGATGCATTGAAGCAGATTTGATGTTTGTTTTTATGCCAGTTGGCATTTTTCCTGAAGAGATAAAAAGAAAAAGCAAAATCAGCTGTATGAGAGGACATGTGCTCAGGAGCATGCAGGACTCACAACAACCCTCTCTGGGCTTTTCCTGTTCCACTCCAGGTACCATAATAGGCTTTCCTGCTACAGCATCTTCCAGCTTCTGCCCTAACACAATCAATCTCTTCTACAAATTGGCATCTTTCTCCATTGAGAAATCTCCCTGACAATTCCTGTGTCCACCTGCTTTCCCCTCAAATTCTATCCTTGTTCCATTTTAAACAAGTCTGTCTTTCTCTTTGTTAGGAAGCTCCTACAGGACTGTGGGACCTGTTCAGTCTCATAGAAGTTGCTAGCAGCAGCACTCTCAGAAGGATCCAGACTGATCTTCACTTCCATTTCAGAGAGGCAAACACAACAGCCTGTATCCCCTTCCATTTAGCATTATTTATAGTCAGGGTGTGTATTTCAATTACTCAGCCTCTCTCAGATCTGTTATTTCTCTTAACCAGGTCCACCTCTTGGGCATTCTTACTCTTTGCTGATACCGATCACACATGGGAGTGTGTTCAAAGACATCGTGCTAGCCGCTTACAATGAGTGCACAGTGCTAGACAAAACTAAAATGATCAGAAGAATAAACAAAAAGGGATTAAAGAGCAGCAAGAGGGATATTCAAAGAATACCCCTTCAGAAAGTGGAACGTGTATTCAAATTAGAACATAAATAAAGGACAGCTTCTGAAAATTAAAACTGTGTTGCAGGAGAACATGGGAAGATTTGATGAGCAAATGGCTAAAAGAATAAAGATTACTAAACTTTCTCAAATGTATCCAAAGAGGGTCACTGCCTGCAATGAACTGGCAGGAGATCCCATGTCACTCCAGTGCTAAAAATTAGCAGGCAAATACTGTTGGAACATTACTCCGAAAAGAAGGGTGACCAGGACTGTATGGTTTACCCACACCTGGAATACTGTGAGTGGTTCTGGTGTTCCCAGTCTTGAAAACAAACAGAAAAGGTGCAAGTAAGAGTGACAAGTCCAAGACATAATACAATTTTCACACGAGGACATATTAAACAGAACAATAGCTGGGAAGAAAAAAGATAGCCAAAGGGAGGAGGCATGACAGACTTCCAAATAACAAAAACCACTCTGGAATCACTAAGGAATGATTATTCCCCATTTCTCACAACATAAACAGGAAGGGTAAAAAAGGAAGCATGCAATAAAATTACCAGGCAAAAGGTTTAAACATAAAAAGGATTATTTTTTTTTTTTAACAAAACATGCAGTAAAGCTATGGAAGAAATGCTGCAAGTGCTGTAGAAGTCAAAATCATAATTCAAAAAGGAACTGCTGCTATACCCAACGGTCTCAAACCCTGCCTTAAAATCCCTAAACAACAACTGCTGTCAGTGTAAGGTTTGTTCTTAAATTCTTTCAGCCTTGGCTATGCGCCCTGTCACCAGCAGGATAGTGGGACTGACCTTTGGTGAAACGCAGGATAGCTGCTCTCATCAAAAGGGAACCTCCAGGTAACAGGGGCTGGACAAGTGTTCTTGTTACCAGCACACTCTGCTTGGTGTACGCAAGTGACTGTCGTCCCATCCTGGAGACCATGTTTGTGGGAATGCAGCCAGAAATCACAGGGGCTGCCTTTGTTTGCAAATCATAGTGGAAATTACTTTCTAATTCTTACACAAACACATAATTAACTTAGGATTACTATTGTTCCTCAAATTCATTTCTGAACAGTCATTACCATTCAAAAAAACACCAATGAGGATATCAATATCCATAAGCTCAATTAACATGACCTGGAGGTTCCCCAGGCCAAACCCATTCCTGACAGCAAAGGACATATAAGGAAGAATACCAGAACAGGGCAAGCCTACAGTGGTACCTCTGCAGAATACCCCTTATACTAACATATTGTGGCTCAGGGAGTTGGAGTCAGGGATGGTAACTTCAAGATTAGCAGCTGACTGCTGTGATCTCCTTCCATATTGATTCCTATGCTCACTAAGTCTATTATTAAAATGGTATTGCAGCGTGAGTTAAGAAGCTGAAGCTGGATGTCTGGGATTCATTTTAATCTCCGATCCAATTTAAGCCAGTGTTACTCCACTGTTATAACCTGACTCGTTATTAAGGCCATAAAGGAACCTCTTCACTCAGTTATATCTAAAAGGTGACTCGGGAAGACCCTCTACACCTGCATTTCTCTTTCTTGTTCCCTGCATTTCAACTGATCTCAATATGCAACTTATTTACCTGGCTGTCCTGCTTGTGCCATCTGCACTCCTGCCAGCATTGGCTGCTGCTGAGCTGGTGCACCTGACATTGGGACCTGCTGCATGCCTGAAGCACCTGCAATGATGGCACCAGCTCCTGGTTGGCCTGACTGGACAGATCCTCCAGAGCCAGGGGGCCTCCGGTTTGACAGTCCTTTCCCAAAGGCCACAGCTGCTACCAGTGCATTGGTATCTGCAGGGTTGAAAGTCTGCTTGTTCTGTCTTAAACCTATATAAAAAAAAAAAGTTAGTTTGGAGCATTTTTGCAATCAAGTTTAAAACTTAGCATCCTGAATTTACTTTTCTACTATTTTGGTGCATGTAACAGAGATCAGCTTCTAACAAGCTGTCCTACAACAGTCTCAGCAAGGTCAAAGAAGCTGCAAAATCCAAAGACAGTGGTGATCCAAGAGCTTCTCCACGGAGAGCAGAGCATATGCTACCCAGGGAAGAAGGAGCCAACTCCTCCATGCCCATAAGAATGTTCCCACTAAAGGCTTTTCCATGCTGGATCCAATAGCAAGTAACAAGCACTGTGTTTTAGACAAACAATGTCAACATCCTCTTTTGGAGGCTCATAAGGAGCATGGTGTCTGTAACTTTTTCTAGTACACACCTGCACAGTTATACTATTAATCCTGGAAAGCAGACAGAACCTGTGCCTGGATCCCTGCTTACACTGTTTGTGTCAAAGATGACAAAAAAAAAAAACCTCACAAAAACCCCAGCACCTTTGAGAGTTGTTCATAGCACTCCCAGGAATAGAGACCAGGTGATGGCAGAGATCAGTAAAATAAGGATGTCCAGAATCAGAGTCAGAACCAAAAAAGGCTGACCGTGAGTCTGAATAAGCCATTATCTACAGGACATCACACAAACATATCGTGGATTCCTTCAGAACATAGCTAAGGGTTTTCCCATTCACTGCCACTGTATTTTCACAGTTATTTTTATCAATCCAATTTGATTGGGATGTTTTCTTGGTAAACAGTTACCACCTCCTCAAAAGGGGTATCACAAAGGACTGGAATGACCCCCAGATTTGCCTATTCTGCCATTAGTCTCTCAAGCCTGCTGTTTGGACCCTGCACCCCACTTCCACCTCAGTGACATACCTCCACTTTCAGATTCACGCTCCTCCTTACTGATTTTCTCCAGAAGATTTGAGCACATTTTGTTCAGACTTTGGATCTGTTTCTGCAAAATGAAAACCATCAGAAACCACCAGGATACTTCCAACCCAGAGCAAGTCAGTAAGGTAAGCAAACAAGCTTTCTCCTTCCAGGGTCTGTGTAGCCAAACAAGCATTTTGATGGCAGAGCCTACAGTGATAATGTAGACAGGGCACTATGGGGATGGGATAGCCTTTGCTTTTCTCTGCCTGTTCTGATGTGTTCACCTCCTGTGAATAGCCAGTGGGCTGGATACCCTCTGTTTGTGAAACTGTGGAGGAAACCAAACTTCATCCAGGGTGATCTGGAGAAACCTCAGACAGATAAGGGCACAGCAAAAAAGAACACTGTCAGGTGGAAGGATGAAAGAAGCAGAGTTACAGGGCATCTTGTGCCCAACAACTAAAAGGCAGAAGTAGCAAACTCATCTTCACCTACCTGTGCCACATCAGGGCTAATTCGAGCTGCATCTGTGATCAGCTGTTTCTCCTGCTCCTCCACTTCAGGGTCAGGCTTAGTTCGAAGATGGTCAGGCACCACCTCATGGCTGAACACTGGCACACGCCCCTCTGTCTGCCTCTGAAATATTTGGATAAGCCTCAGAGTGAGTGACAAGACACTCAGAGCCTCCTCCTACAGCTCCACACCAGAGCACAGGCCATGGTGCTAGAACAAGGCTAGTAGCATGCACTGGGGAAACCTTGATCTGGGCAGCATTAGCAGGTTTCAACAATTTGTGTAAGCATTTGCACTGTGCCTGCTTAGTGAGAGCAAACCACGGGGGTCTGCAGTGCAATGCCACTAGCATGGCCATCATCACTTGAAAAGTTTTTTCATTCAAGCAGACAATAAATGTTGCCAGCACATACATTAGATTCTGTAACACACCTCATGTTGGTCAGATGACAAATAGTGCACATCTAGATGTAGATATCTGACAGCAGCACAGCTAGGGCTGAGAAAACCAGCAGCTTGTAAGGAGACCTCCCAGTTACACAGCCCCATCATAATGAAAATAGCATTTATTAACAGGAACACCTCCTATAAAGTGTATCTAGTACATTTGTAGGTGAAAGCCCCCCAGCAAAGCAGCTCACAGGCAGAACTACTCATCACCTTCTCTTTCTCTACATCCAGAGCTGAGGAATGGCAAATCAGGGCAGATCACAAGCACTTTCTGATACTCCAGGACCAACATTCAGAGGGAAGTTTCTTACCATGATCTCCTCATCACGGTCTGGAGACAGCACCAGGGGTATGATAACCTGGTTTCGCAATAGTGGGGTCTTCTCATGCTTTAGCACTTTGTTCAAGGTGTTCAGCTGTCCAGAAAGCAATGCAAAGCTGTCCAGAACTGAAGGCCTGGGAGAGCAAATAAAGAGGACAGAACATGGAAAGGGATGCCACAGATGCCTCTTCTCTCTTCTTTACTCAAATGGTCGAGAAGTGAGGAAATAATGCTATTATTCCTCAAATCAGTTTATTCCAGACAGTAAACAGTAAAACCTACTACAGTTGTGGAGAAATCCCCGCCCCTACTGCAAATAGCTCAAATGCTACAAATAGCTCAGCGATATCACAAGCAGTATACTGGAAGTTGCAGTTTTGGTATTTCAGTAACTTACGTCGTTTGCATGGCAGTGTTTTGGTAGCAGGGGTGCTACAGGGGTGGCTTCTGTGAGCTAAAAGCTTCCCTTATGTCCAATAGAACCAACGCAGCCGGCTCCAAGACAGATCCACTGCTTGCCAAGGCTGAGCCCATCAGTGATGGTGGTAGCACCTCTGGGAGAATGTGTTTAAGAGGGGAAAAAACTATGCAACAGCAATTGCAGCCAGAGAGAGGAGTGGGAATATGTGAGAGAAGCAGCTCTGCAGACCCCAAGGTCAGTGAAGTTGGGGAGGAGGTGCAGTTACTGGAGAAGAGATTCCTCTGTAGCCTGTGGTGCAGACCTTGGTGAAGGCAGGCTGTGCCCCTGCAGCCCATGGAGGGCCATGCTGGAGCAGATATCAACCTGCAGCCCATGAAGGAGCCCAAACCGGAGCAGGGGAATGCCCAAAGGAGACTGTGACCGCATGGGAAGCCCACACTGGAGCAGGCTCCTGGCAGGACCTGGGGCCTTGTGGAGAGGACCCCATGCCAGAGCAGGGGAGGAGTTTGAGGAATCCTTCCCCTTGAGGATGGAGCAGCAGAGACAACATGTGATGAACTGACCACAAGCTCCTGTCCTCCCTGCACCATTGAGGGGACAAGTTAGAGAACTTGGGAGTAAAGCTAAGCCTGAGAAGAAGGGAGGGTTGGGGGGAAGGTGTTCTAAGATTCAGGTTTTATTTCTCATTACCTTACTCTGATTTGACAGGTAACAAACTGATTTCCCCAAGCTGAGTCTGGTTTGCCTGTGACAGTAATTGGTGAACGATCTCCCCTGTCCTTATCTTGACCCATGAGCCTTTCAGTGTATTTCCTTTCCCCTGTCCAGCTGAGGAACGGGATGATGAGAGTGGCTTTGGTGGGCATCTGGCATCCAGCCAGGGTCAACTCACCCCAGTAATACAGAAGCAAAGCTTTCCTTATCTCTAACTCTCACAGTGCAATTCCAGAGCAAAGTCTGAGAACAATTTAACTCCTAAGCAGTACAGCCAAGAGAGACAGTATTTATAGCTTGGCTATCAAGACTAAGCAATAATGAAGCAAAATAACTGGTAATCTTGTCAAGAAGGTGCCTTCCCTTCAGCTTTCTCTCTCTGGAATATTCATCATCTCTCCTGCCTTCTGCAACATTAACTACAAAAACTGACTGCCTGTGAAGCTCTGCTGCAGTGGCAGATGCTGTTCAGGATACTGTATAGTTCATTAAGCTGTAGCTATAACACCTTTATGGTCTATCAGGAAGAATGCCACCTTGCAAATCTCTCAAACTGTCTGGTAAAACACGCAGAACCAGCAAAACAGAGCCAGAAAAGGCCAGAAAGGTCATGAAATGCAGAAAGAACCATTGCTCATTTTATAGTGTGTGAGTCTCCAAGGTAATTTGTCCAAGAAGCTTCCAGTCACTGCAGATGCAAGTCTAGTTTTCACAAAATGTCTAGACCAAAAGGTGTTAGCATGACTCTATACAGCATGAAACCAGTGGATTTTGACTGCTTTTCTGGTGGAAGATATGTAGTGGTTCCCCCAGCAGAAATGTGAAAAGCAAATTTAAACTTACTGCCAACAGGCTGATGTTTTTTAATTATACTTTTAGTCCTTTGTGCTAAGTCTGGAACAGCTTCAGTAGTGATCAGCAGTGCCCCCAGCTCTGTGGGACACCTTACTTACCAAGTGAGTCGATCGTACTCATTCTCCAGCTTGTAGATAAAACTGACTAAAGAGTTCTTCAGGTCAGCTACCTGACTGATAAGTGCCTCCAGGGTCAGCTCCAGCTGCTTCTCTTCTCTCTGAAAGAAGACAAGGGATGAGAACAAAGCCTTACACCTTCCCCAGGTGTTGTGGATCCACATACATGCGTCCAATCTCTCCTACAGAGAACCTTCTTTTCCAGGGCAGCAAACACCAGACCCTGCAGGTAAAAATCCTATGGTTTCACACTGACCCTTTCCCCTTAGGTCAGAACACTTAGTCAAGAGACTTGTGCTAGCTGTCCTCTTTAAGATATAGATGAGTAAAGATATTATTGTTTACATCTGCTTTTCACCACATCAGGCAGTCATCAAAGTTAGCTCTGCCACTTTCGTAAGTCATTGAACTAATACAGCTCAAAGTACATTCACATCTCTCAGCCTTTACTGACAGTAGATGTGTGCACAGCAATGTCATCATCCAAAACTTCCCTTTTCAGAGTGAGTACCAGATCCATGGCCTAAAGACTCCAGTATCTGCACTTCACCTCCTTCACTTTCTTCCTGCTCAAGTGCCCCTTCCAGCTGTCAAAGAAACCTGCGGGTCCTCTTCTACTTGTGCCTTACTGACTGCAGGAGGCCCTGCCGTGACAGACAGCACACACTGACACAATCACACATCACCCCCTGCCTTTTGCTCTGATTACACTGTTTAAATAACCTTTTCCACTGACATCTGCAGGTGAGGGAGGACAGTGACAAAGTGTCAGGGCAGGGGATCTGTTGCCAAAGACATCAAGGCAAATCTCCATCTCTTGCAAAAACCCTCCAGAATCTTATCTATTCTCACTTACTAACACTACAGCATTGCACAAAATATAATTAAAGTTCCAACCCTAATGAACCGCTCATGTAAGTCCAGAACTGTACAATAATAATCCATGAGGAGGGTGGGACAAAGCAATCAAATAATAGAAAGGGAATGCCAACTGGGAAAGCAGATAGCGTGACTCAGGCTGCTGGCATGCTTGCTATTGCATTTGTTGTTCTGTTTAAATACATCAGACCAGTGGGAGCTTCACTGGCGAGATTATCTGGTATCTGCCATGTTTATGAGAACAAAAGATTTTTCTACTTTATTTATAGACTGACAAGACTATAAAGGCTTTTTTTTAGCAATCGTTGATCAGACTTCACGCAACCACCTAAGAAGAAATGGCTAAGTCAACTTTGAGGAAATCCAGTCCCCCATACATGGAGTGAATGCACAGAGTGGATCGCTCGGTGTTCCACCTCCAGATAAGTGCACTCTCCTCCATCTTGTGATGGGACTCAGTTCCTATGCAATTATGAAATGAGTCTACAATTGTGTGCACACTGTGTTTGTGCAAGAAGATTAATTAATGCCTGCATTACAAGATGGGCTGGTAGCCAGTGGTCTGCTGCAAGGGTGCCAGGCACAGGCACCCAGACAATTCACCTGGCCTGTTGTCTGTGCTTATCCAAGCAGCCCTCGAGAGGGTGAACGAAATCCTATTGCAGAGGTGTTGCTCTTGCAGCAGCAGCATGCTCCAAGCCTCCTTCTTTCGTTGGTTCTCTCCAAAGCCACTAAGAACTGGAAGCAGATGCAAGCATTGCAAAGCATGCACGCAATAAGACCAGCCAGTGTTTCCAAGGAATGCTGTGCCTCTCCCAGGCATACGCTATAGACAGGCAGCGCTTTACAGACTTTGTTAGCAATACTGAATTGGCCTGAGGTAGTAAAGACACGGTTTACAGGATATGTTGCTGAAGGACCTCCTGATACAGAGCAACTGAGAGGTAAAGATTAAATTCAGAGTAGGTAAACATAAAGCAGAGCATGTGGCAAAACAAAGCAGGGGGACATGACCCAATCCTGACTTTCTGTACACAGTGACATTCTCTGAGCTGATAATGTCATCACTCAGAAACAGATCTCGCGATTATCTGAGGTGACCTATAAAAACACCTGCCCAAGGCTCAAGAAGCAGGGGAAGTGAAAGCAGCAATAGGATTTATTCGGAAAGCAAGCAAAAACTAAGCATCATTACGTCACTGTATAAATGCACGCCTCATGTGCATCTCAAAAAAAGGGATATAGGAAGAATATGTACAAATAAAGGCAACAAGGATGATCATGAATATTCATTGGTTCCATAGATGCAGCAGTTAAAAACAGAAAGGAGTCTAGTATGTGAGAGTGACTGAAATGAGGAGAGGCAGTACAACCAGCCCTATAGATGAGGAATTGGCAGGACAATCCACTTTCACTCTCTTTTCTGGGAGGAGAACCAGGAGACCTGCATGAAGCCACTAGGCAGCAGTTTCAGGCAAACCAAAGGAGATGGATCTCCACAGCCTGCTAACCTGTTATTAACCTCTGCAACTCCTTTCCAATGGACATTACAAAGTTCACAGTACTTCAAAGAATACCTAGAACCTTCTTCCATCAATGAAAATTCATTCAAGGCTATTAAACATCAGAGATGTGCTAACAATAGTTTATACAGAATCACAGAACGGTTTGGGTTGGAAAGGACCTCAAGATCATCCAGTTCCAGCCCCCCTGCCATGGGCAGGGACATCTTCCACTAGATCAGGTTGCCCAAAGGCCTTGTCCAACCTGGCCTAAGGTCTCCAGGCAACCTTCTCTTCTCCAGGCTGAACAGCCTCAATTTTCTTAGCCTGTCTTTGTATGGGGCTCAGTAGCTTAATTTGCCCTCATAACTTCTTTTGGGCATTGGCTTCTTCACTAGTGTCAATGCCAGGCTGCTGGGCAGGTGGATCTCTGGTGTGACGAACCTCACCAAGGGCTGAGTAGGAGCGGTGCACCCAGATACCCCCACACACGCTCACCGCAGCCGTGCAGCAAGGGGAGAGTGTTGCACAGCAAAGCATCGCACCCGCTGCTCGAGCTCAGTCTGCTCCAGCCCGGGCTGGGTTTAGCCCCTGGGGAGCAGACAGATGGTCCGGGAGCACCGCTGCACTCGGCGGCAACAGGCCCCGCCAGGGCCAGACCGAAGGCGCCAGCAGCAACGGCTACCGCTTCAGGCCCAGCCCGCGGAGCTGCGGGCGTCCGCGGCAGGAGGCACCGAAACACAAGGCCCAGCCACGGAGCGGCTCCGTACGCCGCGCTGGCCGCCCGCCTGAGGCAAGGCCCCAGGAACAGCCCGGGTGGGCCTACAGCACAGCCCCGATCCCCGCTGCCCCCGAACCGCCCCACGGCCCGCTGCTCCCAGCCGCGCCGCAGCCGCGCTCAACAGCGACCCTTCCAGCCCTCACCTGCATGGCAGCACCGCCCCATTGCACAGGCCAGCGGCGCTTCCGGGTCAGAGGACGCGGGGCGGGGCGCGCCGGGCCGGACATGGCGGCTGCCGAGAGGCCTGACTCGGAGGTGGGATTGCGCTATGGGAGACGGGGCTGGGCCGGGGGACAGGGCTGAGCTGGGGAGGGGTACTGGGGAGCTGGCGGCAGGAGCCAGGTGAGGGGTGGCTGCGGTGGGGAGCAGTGGGGCTGTCCGGGCCTGTGAGGGAAGGAGAGAGGTGGGAGTGCGGGGCTGAAGCAGCCTGGGGGTGAGCGGCAGGGCGGGATGCGGGCTGGGGTCCCCTTCTGCGTGCCCTCCTGGGGTGTCCGCCGGGCTGTGGAGTGACCTGGGCTGCTGTTGTCGTGCTGCAGGTGGAGGAGGCAGGGCATGTCTTCCTCCTGATGAAGAAAGACTATCGCATCTCCCGCAACGTGCGACTCGCCTGGGTCCTCAGCCGACTCCACCAGGTCATCTGGGCTGTGCCCGAGCCGGAGCTGGTGAGTTGGTGTCTGGGGCTGGAGGGGGTCACCATGGCCTGATGTGGTGAGGTGGCTCTGTGCCGCTCCTGAGCATCTGGGCCCTGCAGAAGGCTTTTACCCAGTTCCTTTTCCTGATTTTTCCTTTGGCTTGACAGTCTGTCATGTTCTGATTATTTGTTCTTGTAGGTGAAGTCAGAAAATGAGCTTGATGTTCTCAGCATCCTACCCAACGGGTGGCAGCCTGATGAGCCTGTCCAGCCAAGGCCCTATCTCCTGGTGCCCTCTACACGGGTCACCTTCCTGGCCCGCCAGTACCGATTTGTGATTGAACTTGATCTGAGCCCTTCCACAGGGATTGTGGTAAGTGCAGAAGCCACCTCTTTTGGGGTGTTAGGTATGTTAAAAGGCCAGTCCCATTTCTGTTTGATGAGGTTTATTCCTCTGTGTTAGTCTTAAATTTGCAGAAGTCTTGCTTTTCCCAGGGGAAGAGTGCTCCCTGTGCTCCCAGCTAGGAAGTTTAAGTAAGGGCAGATCCTGCTTCTCTGTAGCATGTTCAACATGTGACTTTTGTTTACAGGGATTTGTCACTTTAATCCAGTTGCTATTGGAGAAGGATGTTTGCTGTTGGCTCTGCATGGTGGGGCCATCAGCCTTGAGACTCAAAGTCCTAGAAGGTGAAAAAGCTGTTCCCTTTCTCCATTTCTGTAGGATGACTCAACAGGAGAGATAATCTTTGATGAAGTGTTTCATGCCCTTTCCCGATGCTTGGTGGGGTTGTTAAGACCCTTTCGTATCCCTGGGTCAGACATCATCTACCAGCCAGAGATCTTTGTCACCATCCAGGCATATTCTTCCATCATCGGCCTGCAGTCCCATCAGGTAAAGTTCAGCCCTTGGAGTGGCTCATTGCCTGAGCATCTCGCTGGATGGCTTCCTGTGAACACAGAGGAAAGCCAGGGCATGGGGTAGCTATTATCGGTGATGCTGCAGACTTGTGTCGTTACAGTGTGCAGCCTGGCGTGGTGAGGAAGCGTATGTGAGCAACTTCTCCTTTTTGGGCAGGAAGCAGAGGTTTCTCCTGGGGGAGTGGGGCCCAGCAGAGATCACTACCTACAGGCATGGTCTCAGTTGGGCCACAGGGAGCATTTCTTATGTTAATTCTTTTTAGCCTGTTATAATTGTCTTGAAGCATTCAAGAAGAGCTGATGTGCCCAAAAGCTTGTCTGCCTGCTCCAACTGTGTAGCAGTGGTTTATTCAAAGATATTGCCTCTTCCTACAAACTTTGCTGCCTTTTTGCACTGGTATGAACCTGTTTCTTCTTGCTGGAGGGAGCAGCCAGCCCCAGTATTGAGATTATCAACTAGATTTGCTTGAGCCAGGGGAGGTCTGTTTAATAGATTGAAGTCTGGTTTATGGTGGCAGTGTGTTTTTTTTAAATATATCCTCAATCCCTTACAGCTGACAGTGTTTTCACATTTCTGATGGTGATTCTGATGGTGACTGCATCCTTTAGCTAGGAAAGTGGGTGGTGACAGGAGGAGCCTGCTAGTCTATGCCTGTTCCTTCCTTCTCTCCCCAGCCTGCCTCTGCCCAAGCCTTCTGGCAGGCTACAGCGTTTACTTGTCTGTATGGTGTTTGAAGAGTGAAGACCTCACTTTGGTCTGTTCTTGGGTCCTACCAAAGTAAACAGCAGGAATTTCTCTGTCTGACAGT